TTACATACATATAATTACACAGGGATTGGAAACCAAGCTTAGAGCTTATATTAATTCCTCTCCCAGGCATATATTACAGGCAAATAATTCTTCGAGACTGTTGACACCTTAATTACCATAGTAACTTGAATAAGATAAAGTTTCACTGATAACATATTTACAGGTGGTGAAAATTGAAATTGAAACATATTACATTTAATGTATAACACATTAGATTAAAAATCAGTTACCAGTGCTTTTACGTTACGATATTGAGGTGCACGTACACTTGCACTCACATACCCATGGATGGACGGACGAACGGACAATGGCATGCTCGAACACGTGGGCATGCACATGCTCAAACACTCACACTCACGAAACGCGTATTTCTCGATATTGTGTATTTAGAATATAAATACAATAATAAGCACTTTCGAATACATTTTACAATATATAATTGATGTAGGAATAATAACTACAATAGTGATTAAGGTCGTACATGAACACGTGTGCAAATAAGGATTAACTAAACCGTTTAGTGAGTTTGATAAAATTTTGAACTTACAAAAAAAATCTTCCCTATAGTAAGAGTATTTTCAGTAAGGTTACTGTTTAAGCTATATAGTGTCAGTAGTTATAGTTTTTTTTATCTTATTATAGTGTAATTATTACATATGAGTAAAAAGTGGTAACTACTTTCGACTAGTCTGCATCTACATAATGGGATTCCCTCTAAATTACTTATATATAGGTGTTGTTTCAATAACTGCATTTTAACCTTAATCTTGTATGTAATATTTAGGTTTCTACTTAAAACATTGATAATCTAGGGACCACTCTTTTATCTTTTTGAAGAAATCTTTTAATACCATTTAATTGTTTTCATATCAATATCTAAAAGTAATGCATTCCAAAATAATAATTGTATTGAGGAGTTCAAAAACGAGTCTTTGTAAAATTTGGTTCTATATGTACAGTTATTGAAAGTAAATGATTGGAATTCCTTGTGTTGCGACCATATGGCTTTCTGATATTTTATCTAGTTTTTTCCCAGTCCACGTCTTTATGTAATAGATTAATATTTGACAGTTTAGTTGCACCTGTTACTACTCTGGCAGCTTCAATTTGAATATTTTCCAAATTTTTGGCATAGATAGTTAGGTATGTTGTCCCAAACCACATCAGAATATTCTAGAATAGATATAATAAAAGCAAAATATATAGTTTGGAGAGAATTCCTATCAAGAGTCTCACGTCTGTGGTTTCTTGATTGGGCTACATTCGCGTATCCGGTTGAAACGGTTGAACCGGTTAAACCTGTAAAGAAAACGACAGGTACAGATTTGGACCGAGGCTGACATCAGGAAAATTTGGTACGTGTAGATTTAAACATATTTTATTGCCAAAAAATGCAAGAGGATTGGGCACAAGTTACATGAACATTATTAACGCCCTTTCCTTATAAGATAAATAATTGTATATACACAACATAAGATGGATTTCATAGTTTAAATCAATACATTTATCTATTATTGGGAGAGAGAGAGAGAGAGAGAGAGAGAGAGAGAGAGA